CCTCCCCCTGCCCCTCCCCCTGCCCCTCCTCCGTCCGCCTGTTTCGCTCTCCCGCACGCCCTCCCTCCATAGGGGAGGATGAGAAGTTTCTGTGTGCGGAACGGGATGGGCAGGGAGGGCCACCGTGGGATCCCCAACCTTCAAGGCCCGGGGACCTTGCGCCCGGCCGGCACTTTAGGGGAGGCGCCATGCGGTGGCCGAAGTCTCCTCGTCGGCTGCGAGCTGCCCTGTGGGGGCTTTCACAATAGATTCCTCCCCAGAAGTGGCCACGCGGCTGCTCTAGAGCGGTTTCTTCTGACCCCCATGCTATGTTTCTCGACCTTCGGCCGCAGGCGTCTAGGCCTGTAGGCAGCCTGCCACAGCCATCTACTACAACAAGGGGAGGCACCATGCGCCTTACGACAACTTTGCGCCAGACGTAGCCTAAGTTATCGTATGCGATTAATGGCTTCACGAATTCCTCCTCATCCCGCTCCCGCTCATGTTCATCTTGGCCCTTCGCTTCGCTTCCGTCTCTCCTCCTCCTCCTCCTCCTCCTCCTCCTCCTCCTCCTCTTCCTCCTCCTAGTCCTCCTCATCCCCGTCCTCCTCCTCCTCCTTCTCCTCCTCCTCCTCCTCCTCCTCCTCCTCTTCCTCCTCCTCCTCATCCCCCTCCTCCTCCTTCGCCCCCCCCAGTCACCCCCCTCCTTCCTGTCCATCTTTTTCTCCTTACAAATAGTTCCACCCTGTCGCGCCCCGAGACGCGTCGGCAGGGCGGGCGGGGCGTTTCGCCTGAAACTCCCTCCCGAATGATGATCCTGAAACTTGGATGTTGCAGCAATTTCACGGATTGACGGCGGGTCGTTTTTGTTATTATCTGTACATATATATACACACACACACGAAAAACGAGCCTCCCGTGTTGGCGCCGTGTACAGTCGCTTCAAAAGCTTCAAAAGATATCATGGGTGGAAGGCGGGTGTTTTTCTTTCAAAATGCGGCGATCGCCTTCGCGCCGTGCACACTCGCATAAAAAGTGTGCAGGAGCTTCGCGGATGGAGGTGAGTCGTATTCAAAGTGCGGCTCTGGCTTCAGCGCCGCGCTCATTCGTTTGAATCGTCTGCAATGGGTTTCACGGATGGAGGGTGGGTCGTTTTCAAAATCGGCCGGTCGCTTTCGCGACGCATGCATTCGGCTTGGAAGTTCGCCAAAGCTTCGCAGGTGGAGGGCGGATGGCTTACAAAGTGAGGCTCACGCTTCAACGCCGCGCTCTCTCGCTTCCGACGTTCGCAACGGTTTTCACGGACGGAAGGCGGGCCGATTCCACAATGGGACTCTCGCCTTCGCGCCGCGCAAACTCGTCTTCCAACTTCGCAAATCCTGCGCGAATGATGGAGGGGTCTTTTCCAAAATGTGGCTGTCGCCTGTACGCCGCGCAAGAAATTCGCTGCACAAGTTTACACAGCTTGGCTGATGCTGATGCTTGGCCGTCCTGACAGATACATGCGGTCCAAGAGTGGCATGCGTCAAACATACACTAATTGATCTTGCTTTCGGTGTTTGTGTGGTCGGCGCTACTTCAGCACTTGCATGAGATAGTTGATCCAGACGCAACGGTGTTCGAAATCCAGCAATGACCTAGCAGCGTTGGAGACACTGTTTCCTGACAAGTGTCCGAGCTATCAAACGCTGCGATTTTGAATCGCGTGACGATTTATTGTTGACGAGGATTGGCCGTTGCGTCGTCCAGCGCGGGCCCCAAGCAGTGCGCTCTTGCTTGCTCGCAATGGCGCATATGCGGCGCCTATGTATGCGGCGCGCGCGCGCCGCTGTTTGAACCGCGATATGAAGCACTGCTTGGGGGCGATGGCGCAACGCGCGGGCCTTTGCTACGACGGGGCTAGCGCGCGTTCAGGCACAGGCGCGAGGCCGAAAGGCAATGCTTCGCCCTGTTCACATTCAACTAGATGGCGTCGCGGGCCCGCTCCTTCTAATCTGTGCATATCTTCACCAAGTACGCCCTGCGGCGCACGATCACCCTGGCCACCGCCGCGCGAAGGCGAGCGACGAACATGTCTCTGGTCTCCATGGAACCTGGTTCAGTAGCGGCCAGGCAAGAGCGCACGTCCCGCCACGAGGCCTCGATCGCATGAGCCTGTTTCTTATCTTCCAGGATAGCGGCCGTCACTGGCCGCGCCCACCCCCCCTCCCTGATGACGTCGTGCGGGTCGGCGCTGCAGCGCACGTGCGCATCACATAGTACACCGCAAAATGGTCTACTCTCGGAAGGCCGAGTCTGCGGGAACCATCTGGACGCAGATGGGAGGAGTTAGTATGATGCGGGAGGACTCGTAGATTCCATTGGGAATCCTTCTCAAAACCTGCGTAAAACATTTGTTCCTGTGGGATCCACAAGCGCTACATTTCACTATTCTCAGTTGTGCACGGTTGCTGTGGTGCACACTGGTGCCGTGGTGTACACAGGCGCTGCGGTGCACGCAGGCATGTGGTGTACACTTGTGCTGTGCTGCACACGGCTGGTGTGGTGGTGTACGCATGTACGCAGGCGTTGTTGTGGTGTACACAAGCGCTGTGGTGCACGCGGGCACTGTGGTGCACACTGGCGCTGTGTTGCATGCGGCTGCTGTGGTGTACGTAGGCGGTGCGATGTACAATGTACACAGGCGCTGTGGTGCACGCAGGAACTGTGGTGTACACAGGCGCTGTGGTGCAGATCGCCACCTACACCCCTACATGCTGTTGCTACATATCCTCGGCCATTCCTAGGCATTCCCAGACGCCGCCGGCGCGAAACGTGACGTCATCGGCCCCCCCCCCAGATGACGGCCGTTATCTGCCCAGAACAGAAAACAACAAAAAAAACAAAAACAAAACAACAAAACGGCTCCATTGAGGTCCTGGCTGTACCTCGGAAAACTATGCAAAAAGTGACTTCCGTGCTCGCGCGAAGCGCGGCGCGGCTCCTCGGTCCACAAGCGCCGCTCGTGACCTTGCGCGCGGCATCTCGGGGCCCAGCGTTGCGAGGATGTCTCAAGCGAAACAACGGGTCAGACCACCTAGCGCATATGTCATCAAAGCCCACAAGCGCTTTCGCGGCAATTCTTTACAAAACAACTACCTGGCGGTGTCCGCCGCGCTAATTGTTGTACAACGGATGGTGGCCGGGTAGCTGCGCAACTGCCCCGCAACTAGCCAACCGCCGTCCACCCGACCTTGTATTTTAGATATGGATGACCGCTATCGGTACTGCAGCGATGTACCTTTTACATAACAACTACCAGGCTATGCACACCGTGCCTCGCTTTTTTCTTAAAGATGATGGGCCTGGTAATTGGGCGCATGCAGTTTTCAAACAAGAACCTCCTCTCTCCATCCTTTCAAATTGTGCAACACCAATACAAAACATGGCGCCGTGGGCAGAGCTGGGCAATTGCTGCGGAACAAATGTCGCCTTAACATCGATGACCGTCATTCATATCAAAACCAAATCGAGTTGGCGGCGGCCGGGTAGTCCCGGGGTAGATGCGCAACAACTACCCAGTCACCATCCAAGTGCTGCAGCGCAATTGACGTCGTCGTGCAGTTGACCCCGAGACACTACGCCGCGGCGACGCCGGGCGGCGGCACAAATGCAAGGAACGAGAGCGACTGCACGCGATACCGTCAAGCTGGAGCTCGACTACGAGGATGGCTGCGATGGTGGCCACAGCGATGATGATGGCACGAGGGCAATCCCTCGTGATATGCACCTCCAGCACATCGAAGGGCGGCGGGGGGGTAGCGCGTAGGTGGGGCGTATGCGAGAGGACATCCAAGAGAAATTATGTGCGATGGCACTGGCGACGGTAATGATTAGGACCGGTTGCATAATGCGATCGAAATGCAAACTCCACGCGAGGACTCACGCAGGTGAGGAAATGAGCTAACGCGATTCCTCCCACCAAGCGGACGAGAACGCAATGAACATTAGCGAATGGAAGCGAGCTTGGCGACTACAAGCGAAGGAAACTCGTCAAATATATACTGACGGTTTTTGTTTTCGGTGCCTGTGTGGTGGGCGCTACTTCAATGCTGGCGTGAGATTATTCTGCCCAGACGCAGGTGTGCCCGAAACCTGGCAATACCCTCACAGCATTGAAGAACGCGTTTTCTGACAAGTGTCCGAGGTATCGAGCGGTTCGAGTTTGAACAGCGTGTCACTTGATTCTCGACGAGGCTTGTAGGAATGATGATATGGTACGAGTTAGGGCTGTCAGGGCATATCAGTCACGTTGATTTGCGGCGTTGAATTCCCAGGAATGATGTTCTGGTGCGATGGAGGATCGTCAGGGCGCAATAAACTTGATTCGCGGCGTTGAAGTCCAGAGAATAGTGCGTTGGTACGCCTGAGGGTTCTCAGACGTTGGCCTTCCAATCGAAAACTTCCAGAAGATCAAATACATCGAATTAAGGCCTGTGCAGAGGGAACGTGGCGGAAGACTTGATTGCAACATCGTTGATGCGTTTTGGATTTAGTCTTGTCCTCCTCCTCCTCCTCCTCTTCCTCCTCCTCCTCCCTCACCGCCTCCTCCTCTTCCTCCCCCTCCTACGGTCAGTAACATTCACTTAGCGTGCGTGTGGCTACGGCGGCCCCAGCGACCCGCTATGCATAGCGTGCCGCTCCGCTCCGCGGGGCGGGAGGTCGGGAATGGCTCGCGACGTTGACGCCTGGGGACCGGGACATGGATAGCGAGTCGCACCGTAGCGCGGCGCGACACGCTGAGCCAAAGTTCTTGACCGTACCACCTCCGTGGACCTCCTTCTCCCTGGTCGTCGTCGCCGCCGTCGACGCCGTCGTCCGACCAAGACCAACACAACCTGCCAGAATAAGCCCCAAGACCCCTGCCACGTCCGCGACGTCCTCAGCGACGTCATCCAGGCCTCGCCATGCGCGTGGCGTTGGCTGATACGACGACACGACGACGACGCCGTCCGCGACGTCGTCCGCGACATCATCCAGGCCTCGCCATGCGCGTGGCGTTGATCTTCGCGCTCAGCCTGGGCTGCAAGCTGTGGGCGGCGCCTCCCGCCTGGCGGTCTGGGCTGGGCGTCGCTGCCCTCCTCCTCCTCCTCCGTCTCCTCCTCCTCCTCCTCCTCCTCCTCCTCCTCCTCCTCCTCCTCCTCGACGACATGACCGCGCCTGGAAGCCCTGAATCGGCCCCGGGGACGCACTGACCCGGGTCAGTGCAAACCCCGGCCAGTCAGACGTGGGAGGCAACTACTGGGAGGTCTTCGTCGGAAATTTTAGAGAGAGGATTAAGACCCATCGGGGGGCTGTTACGCCGGATTGGGCCGCGGATAAGGCGGGATTGAACTGGATTGATCAGCTACACGCAAGAGTGACCCTGGGCAAGAGTGACCTTTGGTGCGCGGCTATAAGGGGGCCGCGGGGGGGGCCGGACCCAAACTCGCAAGACTCTACTATCGCATCGTGTTCGGCGAACGAAGGGCCCTAGTGGGCCCGCCGGAACGATTGCGAAGCAGTGTTCGCTGAGCACTCTGCGAGCGACTCTCTGACCTTCATGAGCGGCATGAGCAAGAGGAAGGGCAACATGACCAAAAACTCTGAACGAGCCCAACGAAACTGACGGAACGCAGGGATACACGGAAACCGCCAGGAGTACCTCCGATGGTGACTGCGTGCGGGGGGGGGAGAGGAGGGAACACCATATGGTGCCGATGCCGCTACTCCCCTGACCTCTCCTCGGGTGCGATATGACCAGAATCTGTAGGCGAATCCAGCGGTGGCGACGAGGGCCTCCCAGGAAACCCAAGAAGGGGGGAAACGAGGGAAGGGTAGTGGTACGGGCACCTCTTCCTCCTCTGCAACATGTACCGCCTGGCCCTGCGCGACGCTCCGCGGGCGACTGGTCACTAAGGGCCTGACGACGTTTCGCAAATCGACGTGTGAGGATCGAGCCAGATGAATCCAGGTAGATGCATACTAATCGAGGTGGATCAAGGTAGAGCTGAGCAAACCCAAGTCCATCCACAGACCTCAGGGGAGATTCGGAGCAGCTCGCGACCGCTCCAGCGCGAGTCGAGGGACGTCGGAAGTCGCCACGCCCTTGACGAGCTGGGGCCGCCTCCGGGACACGCCCCCTCGAGGGCGCTCCCTGCGCAGTGCAGGTTCTGCTCAGCGCGCGCGCGCGTCGGCTGCGCCCCGTCGGCCCCGCCGCGCGGTGCCGCCAGCGCTCTGCGCGCGCCGAGCAGGCAGGAGGGGCAGGAGGAGGGAGGAGCATTCATCGGCGGCGAGCGAGGGAGGAAAGTCATGGGCTGGGGCACGAGGCTATGGTACACGGGGGAATGGAGACGCGCGGAACTGATGGGGATTCAAATTACAGCGTTCCCAACATAACTGACACACTCCGCCCCTTCTTCTCTCACTGTCCTCTCCCTTCCCTCCTTGTCGGCCTTCTCGAGGCCGGAACGCTGATCCAGGTCCAAGTCAGAGTGACCCCGCCAATGTTTTATTTTTGTTAACCGCGCTCGCACCAGCTCGTTCACGCTTCGCACCGGCTGAGCCAGCATCGATCACGTGCAAAAGCCAGCCCAGCGACCGGCAAATGCAGCTACTGGCACCCCCGGCAAATGCCTGAAACGTAGTTTGTCGCGCGGCCGCGCCCCACTTTGCGATCAACCCATGCAAAGCCTGGCGTAAGCCTATCTCGATCCAGCCCTGCCCCCCTCACGTAAGCCTCACTCGAACACTCCCCCCGAGGACAAGGAGGACGACGAGGACGACGACGACAACGACGAGCACGCAGTCGGGCGGCCGACGGCTACGAAGACGAGAACGAGGACGACGAGGACGACAACTAGGACGACGGCGAGGACGACGACGACGACGACGACGACGACGACGACGACGACGACGACGACGGCGGCGGCGACGACGACGGCGACGACGGCGACGACGCGACCCGCCTGGGACGGCGCCGCGCTCCAGGCGGACGCTGGGGTGTCCGGCCCGCCGTCCGCGAGGCTGTCCTGTGCGGCCCGCCCCCCGGCGGGGCTGAGGGGGGCCCTCCCGATTTTTCGGCTCTTTTGGGTGGCCTGCTCCCTGCGGCCGCCCTTTCGGGTCTGCAACCGTCTCGGCGGACCTCCGCGTGGCGAGAAAAAGGTGCCGGGCGAGCTGGTATTGGCTCTGGAGGAGAAGATCCGACGTGGGATCCTGGAGGCCACTCGCCCGGCGGGGCTGCAGAGACGGAAACCCACGCAGCCCCGAGAAAACTTTCAACTCGCTGCGCCCGACGCCGACGACCTCCCCCGTCTGCCCCTCGCGCGGTTGCCTGCTTCCTGCTGTTCCTGCCGCTCCCTTCCTTCCCTCCTCATGGCACGTCCGCGCCTGCTCTAGGTGCGTTTTTCCTCCTCCTCCTCCCTTTCCGCCGCCGCCCCCCCTCTCGTCTTTCACGGGTCGCTGCCACTGGGCTCGGGGGACGGCGTCGGTGGGTGGCCTGTCCTGATGGGGCAGGGCTCTGGGGAGGAACCCGTCATGTACACCATACGCCGCAGAAGCGTCAGAGATGAATCTGGCCGACCGTGCGGCCAGGAACTTTGGCTCAGCCTGCCGCGGCGCTGGCCCCCGCAGCACGCTGTGCCCTGCGAGCGGACGGCGTGTCGCTCCACTCCGCGGCGCGGGAGGCCGGGAACGGCTCGGGAAGCGGTCTGGCAGCTCCCGACCGTGTGCACTGTACACCTACGCATACGCAGATGGTGCCAGTTGGCAGCCGCGCGAAATGTCCGAAGCCCGCGCGGATCTCTTGGATCGGCGCGGCCACCCCCCGGGCACGCGCAGCGCCCCACGGGCGGAGACGGAAGCGCCGCCAGGGGGGTCCCGGCACCGATCCAAGACATGCGCGCGGACCCAGGACGTGCCCGAGGTATGCGCCAAGTCGTCTGGTGAAACTGGCCCAGCTTCGCCAAGTCCCACCAGCCCTCTGGGCGGAGGTGGTCTATAGAGCGTTTCTCCTACCAGCTTCTTACTCAAACCCTTCTCCCTCCCCTCTCCACTGGACCTCGTCGCATACCCTGCAAGACCCTCCAAAGCCCCCCTGCGAGGCCGATTGCACGATGCTGCAACCCCCTGCAATACCCCGCAAAACGACCCTGCGATACCCTGCAGCCCGGACCCCTGCAACAACAGCACTTTGAAAGTGGGGCGGGCGTCCGGTGGCCTTGCCGCATGCTCCCTGGCCTCTTGCCGGGGCGACGGCTCTACGCCTGCTCAAGAAGGCCGCTGGGGAAACTGTGATGCCTGCCAGCGCCGTGCCTGAGCCTCACTCGGCCCAAGGACCCCCCGCCCACCCCCACAGGAACAGAGGGCGCCGACCTGCAATGCCCTGCAATACCCTTCAATGCCCGACCCCGTCCCCTGGGTCTGGACGGGGGGGGGGGACGGCAGGTGGTGAGAGCGTCCAACCGAAGATGGCTCCCAGCAGGCCCCAGAGAGCCCAGGATGGCATCCAGGATGGGTTAAGATATTCCGAGCTTTTGCAACCTGGAGGCGTCTAGGTCGAGGGGGGGGCCCGGCGGCCGCTGTCGGGCCGCTGTCGGGCCGTGCCTCATCCCCCCCACTCTGTGGGTATCGGCGCGCTCCCAGCGCATTCCCATTCCTCCTCCTTCCTCCCCCTCCTCCCCCTCCTCCTCTTCCTGCTCCTGCTCCTGCTCCTGCTCCTCCTCCTCCTCCTCCTCCTCCTCCTCCTCCTCCCACATACCTCTGGGCTGGAGTTTATGTGTGTTCTCCCCCCTGTTTAGCTCCACTTCGTGGAACTTCGTGGAGTTTTCGCGCACTGCTTATCCGATCCGATCCGACCCTTCCCCACCTCCTCCTTTCCCCATACCCCCCTCCTCCTGAGTGACTAACGCGGCGAGGACACACCTCCTGTCCCAGCTGGACGCGGCGCCGCGCGCACCACCAGCGCGCGCGGCCCCGCGCGAGGAGGAGGGGGAGGATGAGGAGGAGGAGGAGGAGAAGGAGGAGGAGGAGGAGGGAGGAGGGGAGGAGGAGGAGGAGGAGGAGGAGGAGGAGGAGGAGGAGGAGGAGGAGGGAGGAGGAGCAGGCGGAGGAGGAGCGAGGAGGAGACGCGCGGAAGGGGAGCGAGGAGAGCGAGGAGGAGCAGGAGGACCAGCAGGAGTAGGGATGACGGACCCCGTCCTCCGCCTCCTCCTCCTCCTCCTCCTCCTCCTGTTCCTCCTCCTCTTCCTCCTCTTCCTCCTCCTTCCCTCCCTCCTCTCCTCCTCCTCCTCCTCCTCCTCGATCCCTCCCTCCCTCCCTCCCTCCCTCCCTCCCTCCCTCTTTTGTTCGCCTCATCCTCCTCGTCCCCACGTCCTCCTCCTCCTCTTTTTTCCTCCTCCTCCTCCTCCTCCTCCTCCTCCTCCTCGGGCGTAGCCAAGAGGGCGCCTGGTCTCGAAGTTCAGCCACAGTCGCCGCCGCTCGTTGGCCGCGCGACCTGAAATCGGACGGCCCTGACCACACCTGCACTTTGGTTGGGTGAAATGATGGGATTGGCAGGGGAGGCCAAAGGGTGCAGAGCATTGAAGAGACAGTAGGCGGAGACGGGGACGGTGAAAGAGGCGCGAGAGGGGGACAGGACGCCGAGGCGGGCGAGAGGACAATCAGCGAGAGGGTGTCCCACAACTTCTGTGAGGAGCCTCAAGAAACACGGGCATCGCCAGTAATGCCAAAATCTGTCAGAACATTCAGGACATCCGAGCATGCACGGAGAAGATTTCTGAAATCGACTGTCCGCGATCCAGGCAGCGGCGAGAGTTTTCAGCACGGCAGCGCGCCAGGAGGGAGGGAGGGGGAGAATGACAGAGCGACAGTGATCCCAATCGATAGTCTCGATTTCTTGAATACGTTCGGGGCATCCTCTGCGCAGACGGGTCTTGAACATCGTGGTCAGGTTATCGGGGAAGAGGGCGTGCAGGAGGGACAGGTAGAGAATACGTTGGGGATGAAGAGCTTTCAGAGGAAGGAGAGGGTGGGCGGCGACATGTTCTCGCAGCGCACGGAGAGCCGTCCTACCAGGGATCCTGCAAGTCGGGGAATCCTGAAAACCTAGATCAACTTGTTGAAGATTCTGAGCGAGCGGGCGGGACCTCCAAAATCTCGGGCACCAACGGCGCCCTCCTTCAAGATCAGGGTAACCAGGGACGATAGTGACGAGCGGAAGCTCGGCCCACGCAGTTTCTTCCAAAATCTCCATACAGTCACGCCAGCACGGGAGGGTGTATCTGCAAGAGCGCATCAGAGAAGCCAGGCAAAGGGCGAGGATGGAGGTCGTTTGGGGTCCACCCCAGTCCTTGAGGCGGTGCCAGTCGGCGTTCGCCCAGCATCGAAAAGGTGTCTTAAATAGACGGGCCAGCTGCTGGTACTCTGACTTACGGAGATGAAGGGGAATGATCATGAACTGGGCGACGTAAGATAAGACCGTGACAGCACGACGACGATATAACAGGACGGTGACCTCAGTCGCGGAGCCACCAGCAGCTATCATGGCGCAGCGAGACTGGTACTTACTGAGCGGGGCGTGCCACGAGTCCCATTCGACATCAGGTCCAAGAAACATCCCAAGGTACTTGAGTTTGCCCGAGATTCCCATGGAGGTCCATTCCCGAAGGTGAGAGTTAAGCCAGAGGCGATACTTGCGGGTGACCACGGGGGAAGCCGAACCGATAAGCGGGACAATGTGGCACTTCGGGATCTTGAGCTTCAGATGCGCCAGCCTCTGAGCCTTCCGAAAAACTGCCGAGATCTCGCTCAGGGCGGAGATGCACTTCAGCGCCATGCCGATGTCGTCGGCACACGCTCTCGTATGGCCACGGCCCGTGCCGTCCACCACGGAGCGAAAGTCTTGGAGAAAAGGATCGAGGGCGAGGCTGAAGAGAAGTCCAGAGGCCGGGCAGCCCTGCACTATACCAGCGGTAATGTGGTACATAAAGCTAGTGACCCCACCGATGTTTCCCCAACACGTGACGTTATCGTAGATAATCTGGTAGAACCACCGAAGAGGAGGAGGGAGAGCGAGGGCGTCGAGCACCAGCATCAGCCATCTCTGACACAAGCTCGGGAAGGCCTGGCCGAAGTCAAAACCTATAAGCAGCGGAAGCGGCGCCTGACCCATAGAGTAGACCCTCGCGTGAGTGTCTAGCTCCACGATGTTCGAACAGAAGTTTCGGCCCGAGACAAAGCCACGTTGGTTCGAGTCGAGTCCAGCGGGGACGCGACGAGAGAGCTCCCAACAACAGACCACAGACCCCCGTCAGAATCTTGCAGTCCGTGTTTTTGAGGCCGAGAGGCCGAGCATCCCCAACGTCCCGAAAAATGCCGTCTTGATCGCCAGCTTCCGTGCCTTTGGGAATGTAAACTCCCAGCAGCTCGTTAAAGTTGAAGGAGAGCGAGAAGCCGCTCAGGATCCACTGAAGTCCTTCAAACAGCATGGAAGAGCCTAGCGGAGCGTGCTGCCACGCAGCATACCTGAGACGGTCGGGCCCGGGGCCGGAGTCGGACTGCCTCCGAAGGTAGCTTTCCAGGAAGGCCAAGGTGGGGGGGGGGAGATCGTGGCACGAAACTTTGGGGGCGAACTCCTGAAGGCACGCCTTCGCGGGCTCTTCTTCGAAAGGCTTGCCAGAGAAGACAGGGGCCCAGTGAGCAGACAGCGCTTCAAGGACGCGGGAGGGTTCCTGCAAAATTTGGCCCTGGACCCGAACCCCGGCCAAAGAGACACGTTTGTCAAAAGGGGACCATAACTTAGCGGCCTTTTTCATTTTCTCCATCCGTCCTCGAAGCCGAGCCCGGCGCTGCTCGCTGCCAGCAGCTGCAAGGCTTGCTTGCACAAGTTGTCGCCGACGCTGTGAAACTTCAGCGTGCAGCGTGTCAGAGAGCGATGCAAAGTCCAGCGGCGAGACCAGATCCACCGTGCTCGCAGCTTCGTCGTAAACGAGATGTTCACGAGCGAGAGGGTGGGACAGGCAGACACGTTCGGCGAGACGCACGTCTTGTCGAAAGACAGCGCGGGCACACGTGCGAAGGACGATGAATTTGGCATCGAGCGACTGCGGCTTGTGTATGATGAGCGAGTTTCGGGCATGTCGTGCTGCTTCTATCATGGGTTTCTTATAATATGCATGTCTGAGAGGTACACTGAGATGTTCGTATTCAGCAGCAGCGAGCGCACGACGCATATACCATGCGAATTCGGCAGAACGAAAGATCTCACGCGGGATAGGCCGAGCGTCTTCAGGCGGCCGCTGGCGAGCAACAAGGGTCGCACAGACTGCAGCATGGTCAGAGATGTGTTTCGCTAGAAGCTGTTCTGGGATCCCCACAACCTCCCCACTGGTAACCATCTGCGACAACACCCACCCAGGAGCAGAGCAGAACAACCGATCGATATAGGATAAATGCTGAATCCCCGCATGATAATGAGTAGGTGCCTCCAGCTGAAACTCGACCATTTTACGCAGAACTTCGCGCCACTCGGGAGCCCCTGGAACCAGCGGCGGCAGCGGTGCATTGAAAAGCTCATCGCTCGGGTTGAGCGGGACAGGCGGCTGCAGCCCGAAGTTAAAGTCCCCGACAACGATGACCAGCTTATTCTGTGGGTCTCGCCTAGCGTCCATAAGATCGTTGGCAATACACTGACATACATGACGACGTTGAACACGAGAGATACTGTGATTGTGAACGTTGTAGTGAGATATCCATGTCGAACCATCACGAGATGAGAAACGAGTGTGTAAAACTCGACCAGGAACCAGAGAGAGAGAAGAGACAAGAGGGGACGCGCTGCCGAACCTCCGCTCCCGTTCGCTGCTGGGACTAAACTTCGGATAGAAAGTGACCACGCCACCCGCAGGGCGCGGCCTGGAAATACCATCATCGCCAGGCGCAGCAGTGAGAAAAGAGGAGGAGCAGGAGAAAGGGAGATTAGCGTGATGCAAGAAATCTTGCACCTCTGCAATCGATCCGTGGACTTCTTGCACGGCCACGATTGCCCCAGGGCGGAGAAGGCGCTTTAAATAGCGGAATTTAGCAGTGCGCACGAGAGTCTGATGGTGCAGGAAGGCATTCGAATTCCAAGAGCCAATCCTCAGCGGCGTCTCGGAAGATCCGCTCCAAAGAGCGAAGAACGTGCTAAAGAGACCACTGGGTCTGACTGTCTCCCTGGATGGCGACAGCCAGCGGCTCCTCGATTGCTTCGCGGGAGATATTCTCGAGAGCCAGATTCGCTTCTGCCCAGCGGATCCGCGGCGCATCATCAGCCTGGGGAGTGATCTCCACGAGCTGGCGCCAATTCGTGGAAATGGTGCCGCGCAGCTTGTCAACAAAAAACTTCTTGTCCTGAAAGCGGTTCTCGAAGAACCTCTTGGCGGCTTTGAGCGCCACCTCACGCTTGACCTGGCACTGGTTTTTGTCCGATCCGACAAAGATCTCAGAGCGAGAGCCTGAGATCGCAGGAGCGAAAAAGCGCATCCACTCCTCTCCAGGACGCTGCGGGCGCAACAGGCTGAGGGCATGCTGTGCACGGCGTGCGGCGAACTGAGAACTACCCTTGAACTTGATCGTGAACCTCTTGTCCGACGGCTCCCCCTGGAGCTCCCATTCGGACGACTCGATGTTGAGACGCTCCAGCCACGGCAGAAGGGCTCCATGAACTTGCTGCCTCGCGGTCTGCTCCTTGCAGCGGACCACGATGATGGACACGTCGATGGCACGGTTGAACGCCGAGTCCAGCGAGAGCTTCGGGAAGATCGTTGGCAACTCACTGGGGGTCTCCTTGACCACGCTGAGCTCACGTTTGAGGAGCTTGACTTCTTCATGAAGAACTTGGAGCTGCTTGGTGTGGCCTCGTTGAACAACTTCCACTCCGTTGAGCCGTTGTTCGACCTGCGATGCCATCGCCGAGCATGTAGATTGCACTCTGGTGGCCAACCCTTGGAGACTGGAATTGAGAGCGGACGTCGTGTTCGTGACCTGCTCGAGGAGCTCTGCACGCAGGGCTTCGATGGAGTCTTGGAGGTTGGCGGCATGGACGATCTCGAAGTCTGCGTCCCCAGCGGGTTGACGGCCGGCGCGACGCTTGTTGATGCCGCTCTGCACACCTTGGCTGCCGCCGCCCAGCTCAGCACCAGGAGGGGCAGCACCACGGATAGGAGTAGCGACTTGTGAAGACCCACCAACGCCCACCTGCGACGGCGGGAAGGTCGGGATGTCGTCGAGGTCGATGTCGATGTCAGCAACCATCTGCATCTGACTCGGGATGGTGTGGCCGCCATCGCCCATGGTTCGAAGAGAGCACAGGTGGGGCGAAAGACGGGAGCACTGGGAGGTGTGCCGCGGGCAAGCCCCAAGCGATTCGAGAGATCGCTACGGATGGGTCCAAAGCTAATCGCAACACCTCGGTTCCCCGAACCTTCGTTACGTTTAGCCTTGAGCCAAAATGGCTACGGACCTCCTCCTCCTCCTCCTCCTTTCCCCCGTCTCCTCCTCCTCCTCCGTTCCTGCGTTTCCCCCTTCTCCTCCGTCTCCTCGCTCCCCCATCCATTTCCTCCTCCTTTCCCCTCCTCGCCCCACCCACCCCCAAGCTTCCCCCCTGCCCTCCTGGCCGATCCCCCCCCGCCGCGCCCTGGAGGTCTGCGTCGTCTGGTAGGTGGCCTGGGTCGAGGCGTACCGCGCGAAGTGCTGCACCTGCGCAGGGAGGATCGGGGCGTGGGGGGGAAGAAGGAAGGGAGGGGCAGCAAGGAAAGAGGAACATATCGCGGAGAGGGGAGGGGAGGAGAGAGGGAGGGACGGATGAACGGATGAGAGGCAGGGAGGGAGGGGAGGATGCAGGAAGGGGAGGCGGAAGGCGGACGCATGGAGGATGAAGGAGGAGGAGGACGGCGGCGATGGCGTAACGGCGGGATGGAAGATCTGGAGTTGTGCCAATGCACACAGCGCACACTATGTGGGTTGGTGGGTGGGCTCGCTGGCACATGACATAATACGTCTGGGTCGGGCTGCGCGTCACTCCGACGCAGTACGCAATTGAGTACCACGCAATACCTGGGATCACCACGCTACGCCTGTGAGCGCCATTGTGCACAGCCGTCTGCCAAAATTACGGGTGATGGCTCTGTCGTTGCAGCTGGCACCCCAAGAAGAACATGTCAGCGTAGCACACTGTAGTCTGCGAGCGCCCAGATACTCGTGATAACAGCACGGTGCTTGCGAGCAGCATGCTGGCCTGCGAGCGCCGCGAAATGCCCAATAGCACCACATTGCGCTTGGGCCTCTTAGCGGCACAGTCGAAACTGGGCCCAACCAGAACAACAACAACCTGCAAACGCCAGACGTACGCACACCCGTGCGCAGGACCGGTAGCACCGCGGATCCATCGGGTTGATCACAAGCAGTGTCCGTTTGAACACACCAATGCGAGCCTGTGGGCGCCACAGCGTGGGCGAACACACATGCAACAGACTACTAGCCACCGCCGCATGGCGAGGGAGACCAGACTCATGCGTTCATTGCGCGCTTCCGCCACAAGATGCTGTCAAGCGCCTCACGATTTTTGTTGCGATGGTGGGATCTCCAAAGGCCTCCTCCTACTCCTCATCATCCCCGTCCTCTTCCCCCACCCCGTCCTCTTCCCCCTCCTCCATCTCCTCCCTCTCCTGGTGGTGGTGGTAATACTTTGCGAACGCCGAGCGGATGGAGGAGGGGAGGAGGGAGGGAGGAAGGGACGGATGCATGGGGAGGGCGGGGAGGAGAGAGTGAGGGAAGAAGAAAGGACGGGAAGGCGGGGAGAAGAAGGCGAGATTAGATAGGACGAACGCCGTAGGACAACGTCTGGGTATCCTTTGACATCTTCGCAGACACGCAAACGCTCTGCCTTCGAGCCAGCGCAGGGATGGATGAGAAGATGACGAGGGAGGGCGGATGAGGAGCAGGGGAAAGGGGAGGGAGGAGGACAACGATGGAGGGAGGAGGAGGGATAAGGGAGAGGAATGATGGAGAGGGGGGGGGAGGCGGCAAGGGAGGATCGACCAAGGAAGAAGAGGAGGGAGAAGGAAAGGATCACGCAGGGATACGGGGGAATGAAGGAGAAGGAGCGAGAGAAAGAGGAGGAGGACCAGAGCTACCACCAGAGGCATTAACGATGTTGCAATAAACCTTTCCTCCAAGTTCCCTCTCCATAGATCCCTACAGGAATGTAGTTTCATTGCGGGAGATGCCCACTTAGAACGCAACCGTCGGAGAATCCTACATCTTGTTAAAACACAGTTCCTGGCACTTCAACACCGCAAATCAACGTGACCGTTGCGCCCTGGCAGTCGTAACTCGAGCCAGAACACCGTTCCTGAAATTTCAGCACCGCGAATCAACGGGCCTGGTGTTTCCTGGCAAACCTAAGTCGTGCCAGGGCACCATCCCTGTGACTTTAATCATATGAAGCCCTGGAACTGTTGAAAGTTTCAACGGATGCGCGCGGCCCTCAGGCGAGAGCCACATGTTGGACATGAAACACCCTTCGTGGTTAGAACTGTTGCACGCTTTTCGAAACGAGTGTGCGGGGCGATAACTCGAGAGCCACATGTTGAGCGCGCACCGCCCTCCATCCCTGAAGCTGCTGCCACTATACAAAACGAATGTGCGTGATGCTACGGCGAGAGACACAGTTTCAGAATTACCCACCGCCCATCCTTGAATCTGTTGCAATGTGTAAATCGAATTTACGCGACACTAAGGCGAACGCCACATTTTGAAAACGACCCGCCTTCCGTCCTTGAAACTGTTGCAAATCCACGCTTCAAGGTCACAAGTGGTGCGGAAGCCTGAATCGAAACGCCTGGCCCGCCCTACCAACACGCCTGGCGGCGCGACATGGGAGAATTATGTGTAAGGGAAGGTGTGGAGGCCACCGCCTAACGAAAATAGTTGGCTCGCCGCTATTCTGCGGACACCAGATCTCTGAGACTTTCCAGCCCGCGGACGCCCAAGCTACTGTCGCGTAAAACAAAGACACGCCCGCTGTGATTTTCTGGTGGCGACTGGAGGCCTGGGGGCGACGACGACAAAGAAGTGGCCACTGACGACCTGCGAAAACCCTTGACTCTTCGAAAACATAGGGGAGTCTCCACGTGGCCTCGGGGAGACTCCGAGGTGCTCCAGAAAGCGCGGGGACAAAATCCCAACCATATGCAGCTGTGAGTACCGTCGTTGTGTGTATCGCCTTCGGTGGATTCCCTGATGGAGCCACGAAACGTGTGAAGGGCGTGCCGAAATAGGGCGGGGCCGCCTTGCGGGCGCTGCCACTGGGTCCTAATGTGAAGCTCCATGTGGAGCCATGAAATATATCAGGGGTGTGCCGACTCGGATGCGAGTAAGCCATGCGGACCGTACCACAGGGGCTTGCGGTGGAGCTCCCCATGTGGCCACGAAGCGTGTGAGGGTTGTGCCGAAACGGGGGGTGACGCCCACATGCGAACTGTGCTAATGGGACCTTAGGTGGAGCTCCCTATGGGGCCACGAAACGTGTGTGGGGTGTGCCGAAAGGGGGTGACGCCAACATACGAACTGTGCGACTGGGGCCTTGGGTGGAGATCCCTGTGGGGCCACGAGACGTGTGAGTGGCGTGCCGAAGCGGGGGTGACGCCCACATGCGAACGGCGCCATTGGAACCTTGGCTGGAGCTCCCTACGTGGCCACGAAATGTCGCCCACAGGCGAACTGCGCCACTGAGGCCTTAGCTGGGGGTCTTCATGTGGCCACGAAACGTGTGAGGGGTGTGCCGAAACGGGGGTGACGCCCACATGCGACCTGCGCCAGTGTGACCTAAGCTGGGGCTCCTCATAGGGGACACGAAGCGTGTAAGGGGTATGCCGAAACGGGGGTGACGCCCACATGCGAACTGTGTCACTGGAGCCTTAGCTGGAGCTCCCTATGTGGCCACGAAGCGTGTGAGGGGTGTGCCGAAACGGGGGTGACGCCCACATGCAGACTGTGCCAGTGGGGCCTTGGGTGGAGCTCCCTATGGGGCCACGAAGCGTATGAGTGGTGTGCCGACACGGGGGTCACGCCCACATGCGAACTGCGCGACTGGAACCTTGGCTGGAGCTCCCTATGGGGCCACGAAGCGTGTGAGGGGTGTGCCGAAACGGGGGTGACGCCCACATGCGAACTGTGTCACTGGGGCCTTAGCCGGAGCTCCCTATGGGGCCACGGAGCGTGTGAGACGCCCACATGCGAATTGTGCAACTTGGGCCTTCGGTGAAGCTCCATCTTAGGCCACGCAACGTGAGAAGGGTGTGCCGAAAAGGAGTCGATGCCCACATGCTGGGACCTCAAGTAGGAGGGGCTCCCTATGGGGCCACGTAGCGTGTGAGGGGTTTGCAGAAACGGTGGTCACGCCCACATGCGACCTGCGCCACTGGGACCTAAGCTGGGGCTCCTCATGGGGACATGAAACGTGTGAGGGGTGTGCCACAATGGTTGACATACGGAGAGCCGAGGCAAGGATGGGAGGAGGCAGGAGGCAGGAGGAATAAGGCGGGACGCGGGGCGCTGCCTCCTCAAAACGAGGACCCAACACCACAGGATTGCTGTGAATTGAAACGAAAGTTGACCCTATGGCTGCGAAAGCAAATAGAGCCTGTGGCGGCATTCTTGGGTGGAGGGCAGGGGCAGGGGTGAGAGGAGAGAGGAGGAAGGGGGCAGCGGGAGGAGAAGGAGGAAAGAGAACGCGGGGCGCTGATTCCTTAAAACAAGGACCCAACATCACAGGATGGTTGGGACAAAAATCCGAGAGCCTCCGAATGCCAACGAGAACATACGGCGACGAGGGAGACGGCGACGACGACGAAGACCGGCGAAGATCGTCGTCGTCATCGTCGCCGTCATCCCCCTCCCCCTCCTCCTCCTCTTCTTCCTCCTCCGCCTCGTGCGACCACGACGACAACATTATCCTCCGCCTTCCTCCCCCGAGACCATGCAGCGACGAGGGCGGCAACGGCGGCGACAACAACAAGCGGCCCAGGCCCCCGCGCTGCACCATCCGTTGCGCCATGCCCCAGGCGAACCGCACGTGGTCTGCCGCGTCGGGCGGCGGTCCTGCCCCTCCTCCTTCGGCCCTGCCCGGCTCTGTCCGTGGTGATCTGCTTCGGGCCACTGGGCTCCCTTCCGAATACCGCTACGGTCGGACTGTCAAACATAGATTGACGGCTTTTGTTTTCGGCGCTTGCGCGGTCGGCGCATAAAGTGTTTGGCCCGCGCGGAGGGGTGTCCGAATTCCGGAACGCGTTTTCTGACAAGTGCCCGAACTATCGGGCGCTTCGATCTTCAACAGCGTCTCAATTTAGATTTGACGAGGCTTGCAGGACAGAAGAGCACCCTTTAAGAACATGAGGCCCTCAACCGGCCAAAACACCCCAAACAGTACGATCACTTGAGGGTACCCTCCCCCTGAATGCACAAGGAAATCCAGCAACACACAAGGAGCATTTGGGCACCCTCCCCGAACCAAGCTCGATCTTATATCTCGGTCCGACCGTACTTGTTTTGTGAATTGTTCGGCGCTGACGGTTCAACATGGCCAGCTCCGGAAACCTTGCAAAAACATCTCTATTGGGCGCCTCTTCTACTTCGCCGGCTTCCGCCGGCGGAGCCGCCCCCATTTTACTTCTGCCAGCTTCTGCCATCCTTGCGCCGCATTCCGCCCAGGGAGACATAGAAAATCCGTCGATTTCTCAGAAGAGAAAAAGCCTTTTTCTGGAGCACCCTATATGTTGCTATTTGTTTTGTAAGGTTGAGAACTCATCTACGTCTTCCCTCCAAATAATGCTCGGATTGGGAGGTTAACCCGCGCTTTCCCCAGACAGCGCTTGCACCAGTCAAGAGGATCTTGCCTGCGTCCTATACTTGCCTGGCTGGCATTTACAGGCCTTCGCCCAGTGCCCGCCCGTGCCACCCGTGCTGGGGAAACCAAAAAGGTACCGACACCGATACCCCCCGAACCTCTCCCGGGGTGCGCTCTGACCAAAATCTCGAAGCGAATCCAGCGATGGCGACGAGGGCCTCTCAGGAGGCCCAGGAAGGGCGAAAACGAGCGAAGGGTAGCAGTATGGGTACCCTGTCCTCCTCCGACATGCCTGCCCCATGCGCTGGCTGGCATGTCCGCACGTTCGCCTGGTGCCCGCCCGTGTCCCCCTCGTGCCCGCCCCGCGCGCTGGCTGGCACTTCTGCACGTTCGCCTGGTGCCCACCGGTGTCCGCCTCGTGCCCTCCCCGTAGGCTGACTGGCGCTTCCGTGTGCACACGCAGATTCCACTGCATGGACTGCGCAGCACAGCTTGCACTACGTAACATCCTCCTCCCTGGAAGGACATGGAGTCCGTCCCCATGCCAAAGCCAGACTGGTCACCCCATGCGCTTTATACATTTCCTGCTGCACGATCGCCGATCCTACCAATGAAATGACATCATCCCAGCCAGGCCGGTATCGCCCCCCCCCCCCCCCCCCCCCCCCCCCCGCGACATCTCCTGCGGAAACTGCGTAACAAAAAAAACTGTGCACGTGCGTTGGTGTAAGAAGTGCGTTGGTAGCAATCCCCTGTCAAGTAAAACCATGCATGCACAACGTATGGCTGTGCCACGATGGCGATACCCTCTAATCAAACATCAAATCGAACCAGGCCCGCGGAAATCGATATCGAATCGGATCGATCGGATTGAAGTGAGCCCTGTGGGAGGAGGAGGAGGATGGACAAGTAGGAGGGAGGAGGAGACCCCTCGGCCGTTTGTCGGGGGGCCCTAGCAGGTGGAGGGGGCGTGGAACCGCCGCCTCCCATAGCAGGATGACGAGACTGCTTGCGGACTACACAGCCTTCGGGGCAGCTGTTCCCCGAGAAGGACGAGGACTTCCTTATTTTTCCAATTCCTCTCCTCCTCCTCCTACTCCTCCTCCTCCTCCTCCTCCTCCTACTCATCGTCGTCGTCGTCCTCCTTCTCCTCTTCTTCTCGTCCGTCTGACTCCCTGCCTCCTCGCCGTCCTGCTACTCCTGGAAGCGGCGAGGATCGAAAACAGGAGGACGAGAAGATGGCCGATGGGCAGGAGGAGGAGGAGGAGAAGGATAAAAGGGTGATAATGATGTGTGAGAAAACATCTTCACACGCCACTTCATTTCAATACGCTTGCCTCGTGATTTCGCGCATGTGAGCTGAATATTTTGGTATGCCGCTGCATACCCGTCACGGGAGACAGCTTAACACATTCAGAACAGACGAAGACAGAAAGAGCAACAAGAAAGCTGAGTAACGCGGTAGAGCGATAGAGTAGCAACAGTCGTTTTCCTGAAGCGAGCCCCCTCCCATCTCTCCAGGCAAGTAGAGCTGGATGTTCTCTGGCACGGCAGCCAGAAGCATTACCAAATCCTTCAGGTGCTTCAAGTCGTGCGGGCTGGTAATCGGACTCGGGAAGCCAGGCAAAAAATCTCAACAATAATGAAGAAGGCAGGACCGTCAGTGGTGGGAATACCGAATGGGGGAGTCACTTCACAATATCGGTGAGAACTCCATCGTCGCCCTGTAATTGTCGGACTCGGCCTCCGACGTACTGAAGAAAGCTTGACGGCATCACAAAACAAGTCAAATATTTGAACCCACGAGGCATTGTTTCCCACGCCTCTCTCTCACAGGTGGGAAGGGCAAAGGGGTTTGGGGCGAGAGGGGGGGATGCGGAGGAGAAGTGGCGCAGGAGAAGGAACTTGGAGCAGGTCGAGGGGGCAAACGTCCCGGCTGCGTTGGCAACATCGCAGACCCGGACTCTGGGCAGTTGACAGTGGCGTCTGCCAGCAGCTCACTGCACACGCCGAGGGGAGGGGGCGGGGAAGGACATGGGAGGGGGGGGCGAGAGGCACTCGGTCTCTGTCCGCGCTCGCTCGCTCATCCCTGTCAGCCTCGAGGTGGCGGTCCGAGGTAACCAAAGAGGTGCCACAAGCGAAGCGAAGTGGGGCTGGAGCCCCTGAACTCCACCGTCGGCTACACGCAAGCGTGACCTAGGCGAGAGTGACCTTTGGACCACGGCTTCAGGGGGCCGCAGGGGGGGTAGAACCCAAGCGCGGAAGCCGCTGCTGCCGCGTCGCGCTCAACTATCGGGGGGCCCCAGTGGGCCCGCACCAAAGGCCGACACCCTCCCTGGAACAGATAGCTAGCATCGAGCATCGGGATGCAGAGGCCGCTGGTTTCCGTGCATAGATCGGCAGGCGGCCGGCAGTGGCAGCCGTCGCGAGACGGGGGCGAGGTCGAGAGAAACAGGCACAGGCGATAGCGGACGCTCAGCGGACTCACCGGCCGCCTGCCTGCGTCGTCCCGCCGGCACTGGCCCTCGCCTGAGTGTTCGTCGTCGTCTTCTTGCTCCTCCCTGTTTTCTCTCGTGCGGGGCAGCACAGGCTGCCGGGAACTGACACAACCCAGCCCCAGACTCCCCCGTTCAAGCTGCCCAGAGGCAACTACCCGGAGGTCTTCGTGGGAACGACGACGGGCAATGAAGCCCGCTTCCGGGGGCTGCTGCCCGAAATAGATCCGGTGAAGCCCCCGATTTGGAATATTTCGAATCTCGGCAACAGCTATGCGTATACCAGCGCCGATGCTGAACTCACCCTCCAGGCCCAGGAACTGGGTCCCAACTGGCGGGAGCAGTGTGCTGGCAGGACGACGCAGACGGACGGGCCGACGGGATCGCCTGCCTCTCATCCCTCCCGTCCCAGCGACCGCCCATGGCGTCCCAAGAGATCCTGATGGCGGGCGGCAGTGAACATCGTTTGATCGATCCCTATCTCACTGGCGTGGCATGTGCCCCAGTGGCCGATTTCTCCTCCTTGATGAGGGGGTACAGGCTGTTCCCTTCGGGATTCGAGGGGTCTATCCCCAACTGGGGTGGTGGGATGGTGGGGCTGAGATACCACGGCCCGGTGGGGGCAGGGATTGGCTCAACGATGCGGAGGCAGCGGTGCAGATCTCGCCGCCCACACGACCAGCGGAGAGGCCAGCGCCGCCTCCTCGTATAGTTTGCAACCCCGCTTGCCGCTGACTCTGCTGGGAGGGACCCGGCCGTCCAAGAGCCCATCTCAGGCTGTAGAACAAAACTCGTCAGATTCACGAGGAACTCCGGGGCGGCAAGCCACCATGCCGAAGGCCTTCAGGGCGACCGGGGCGAGGCGCGGACGACTTGGGGCAAATACAATCACAAGCCCTGCGGCCGTGGGGACTTGTGAGCGCCACTCGCTCAGGATTCTCGAACCTGCCTGAGGTCCCGACGAACGGCCCATGGTCAAAACATGAATGCCAACGGTCGGCCCCTGAACTGGCGCCGAGCTGTGGACCCAGACCCATGGTGTATCTGGTAGACATCACCAAAGAAGAATACGGTCTCGGTTGGGCGCGATTTCATGGGGGGCAATAGCTGAGGAGGGGGGGAAAGTGCCCCTTCTGGGCCCTGTAGGACCCCTTCTAGGCCCTCCAGGGCCCCTATAGGGCCTCTTTTCGGCAGCCCTCGCTGCCCCCCCTCGTTTATCGCCCTCCCATTCGCGGCGTCGACTCGATCAGCTGTGTACGGCCGTGTCAGAAAAATGCACACCATCAGAACAAGCACGCGGGGGAGCAGCGGAGGTGGGGCGACGAGGTAAAGATCAACGAGAGAGCACGAAGGAAGCTGGCCTGTGGATGAACAGTCCCGCCGATAGCCTCCACTGCCAGGCAAATCGATTGTGCCCTGGCCAACCAGCCTTCCGACTTCTTTCTCGAGTCGCCCTAGTGCTAACTGCCGATGCCAACTACCTTGCGCCTGTTCATGTGTCATGTGCCCCTCCCAAACGAAACTGCCATGTTTGAACACAACGCCTATGAACAAGTAGTATGAGAGAGAGAGAGAGGGAGAGACAGGGAGAGGGAGAGAGAGAGAGAGAGAGAGCAGGACTCAAGCCCGAGCATGGCATATTCTCATACAAGCCGCATCTAAAGGATGAGCGATGGGGTGGGGTCAGGCAAGATATGCAACAGCGAGCTCGCCATATCCCTGGGCGGCCCAGCCGAAGAGTCCAAGGCCCCTCCCCAGACATGCGACGTCTTGATTTGTTCAACACGGGGCCCCCAAAGTCCCGACCCTTCCCACATGGCCGCTTGTTCCCAGGACGTGTTTGGACGGTCCAGGGGCCCAGCGAAGGGCCGTGGAAACCCAACACAGCGAAGAACATCCGTAATGTTTTGTCCAAGGCGTTGAATGTCAGGGTCTGGAGCCCATGATCATGCCCCCCTTCCACGACCTGCTACTCGTCGTCCCTCATCCCTCCCGCCCTCCCCCCTCCTCGACAACCGCCCGTCCTCCTTCTGCCCCTGCTGCTCTCCCTCGACGGGTCACGTGCGGTGCCCGCGGCCCCTCCTCCCTCCTCGTCCGCCTCCCCGCTCTTTCTCTCTCTCTCTCGCTCTCTTGGCCTCCCGCTTCCTCCTCCTCGTCGCCCCTGCTGCTTCTACCCCGCCTCCTCACGCTTGCCGTCATGCTCGCCCTCCCTTGTGCCCCTCCCCCCCTATCCTCCCTCTCCTCCTCCTGCTCCCCCTCCCCCTCGCCTCTCCTCCTCAGCATCATTATCGTGGTCCTCTTGATCCTCTTCCTCCTCCTCCTCCTCCTCCTCCTCCTCCTCCTCCTCGTCTCCTCCTCCTCCTCCTCCTCCGCCTCCTCATCCTCCTCCACCTCCTCCTCCTCCTCCTCTCCCGCCCTCTCCTCTCTCAAGATGCCATATCGACGCTTCCCCTCCCTTGCCCTACCTCCACCCCCCGTTCCACATCCTGTCGCCCCCCCCTCCTCTTCACTATCCCCTCCCTCCCCCCGCCCTCCTAGCTTCTCCTTTTCTCCCCCTTCCCTCCCACTCATTCCCCCCCTCACCCTTTCCCTCCCCCTCCCCCTCTTCCCCTGCCCCCGCCAAGTCGCCCACCGGGTCACCCCCCATCCTCCCCACTCCGATGCCCCCCAACGACAACGACGACGACGACGTTGACGACGCCGAGAGGCGGGCGGCGGCGGCGACCCCCCTGACACTCCACGTCGCGGGGTCGGTGAAGATGTGCTTCACCTCGGCGCCCCGTCCCGCGAGGAGATCTCCGCTGGAGAGGCACTCAGGTGCGCCCAGGGCAGGCAACCTGGACATCCCCAGACTTTTGTTTCCTCCATCGGGGTTAAGGCACCGCCGCGGGTGAGGGGATGGGGAGATGTCAAATTGAACCGAACAGGAAGCAGTGGCCAAATGCTGGCGTGCAGGAAGACCTGCTGCGACTGCTCAGAACCTTGATGCATGCCCCGGACAAACATCGCCTGGCCTCCGAAAGGTCTACGAACAACCTTTCATCCTCGGGCCCCGCAAGGCCCCCATAAGCCGGAAACGGCAACAAAGCAAAGTCGTCCGTCGTGAACTGTTCACGTCGCGAGGATGTCAGCGTCTGGCGGCTCGATTGAGACTCGCTGTCGCTCGGACTTCCAATCCCCGTGCACTTTTCGATCTCGTGCGTTTACTTTCTCGCAAGATGGTCCCAGCTGCTCCTCGATGGTCCTCGAAAGGCGCACGTCCGAGCGATGCTAAGGAGAGGGAGAAGCAGCAGAAATGAGACGGTCGTTGCAAGCTACCTGGAGACTGGTCGCGGGCCGCGGGGCCATCCCACAAGCATCCAGAGCAGCAGACTGGTCGCTGTTTTTTCGCCGCGCTGGTCCCCTGCATGGAATGAGGCCTCGGGCCACGCGTGCGGGCACGATTTGTTACCAGATCCACTCCGCACTGGGCACTGGGGGTCAGGCTTCGTTCTCCAGAAACCGGAGGCGCGGTGGATACGTATAAGAAGCTGGCCCGCAGAGGCTAGACTTGCGCCCATCAATTTTCCAGAAGTTCCAAGAAGCAATATGGCTGTACCTCCTGCCCGCAGCGGAACCGTTCAAACACCTTTTTTATCGCAGCGGTGGCGGACGCGAATGCGACTGCAGAGCTGGCAGGCCGCGCCGGGCACTGAGCGCACTAGAGCGGGTAGAAGACCGTAGACGGCCATGGAGGAGGAGAGGGGGAAGGAGGCCTGGGACACCGACAATCGGCGAGAAGGGGTCCGTTCAAACACGGTCCAGTGCGAAGAAGGTATAGTTCACCGGGGGCCTTGGCTACCCTTGGCCCTTCTACCGACCCTAGGCTTCCCAAGGGTAGGGCCTACTGAAGGCCCTAGGCTTCCCAAGGGTAGGCCCTACTGAAGGCCCTGGGCTTCCCAAGGGTAGGTAGGCTCTACTGATGGCCGTAGGCTTCCCAAGGGTAGGCCCTACTGACACCCTAGGGTACCCCTAGGGTAGCCCCCTAGGGGTAGGCCCTAGGGGTACCCCTAGGGTAGCCCTAGGGGTAGGCCCTAGGGGTACCCCTAGGGCAGCCCTAGAGGTAGGCCCCAGGGGAAACCCTTTTATTGCGGATTGCAACATGATTTCTTTGGTCGGGCGGGCGGGCGGGACATTAAATGCATTGATTGCTTGCGTGGTGGATCGCCAATTGCTTCCCGTTGGTAACGGATTACGAGTAGATTCCCTTTGTGGTGGATTATCAACTGATTAATTTTGTCGGGCGGGCGGGCGGGACATTAAAGGTATTGATTGCTTGTGTGGCGGATGGCAAACCGATTCTTAGTGTGGCAGATTACACATTGATTCCTTTTGTCGGGCGGGCGGGCGGGACATTAAAGGCAATGACTGTTTGTGTGGTGAATGATACATGGATTCCCTTTGGCAGCGGATTACAAACTTATTCCTTTGGTCGGGCGGGCGGGCGGGACATTAAATGCATTGAGTGCTTTGGTGGTGGATTACGAAGTGATTCAATTTGGCAGCGGATTACAAGCGGATTACTATTGTGGCAGATTACAAGGTGATTCCTTTTGTCGGGCGGGCGGGCCGGACATTAAAGGCATTGCTTCCCACTCTTTGGCATCGCTCATGTCAGGAAAAGGCTGCGGCGTGGAGGGCGTGTGGAATATCCCGTTGTGGGCGTGGCTGTGGCGGCACTGCTCCCCGCCCACCGCGTCCACCGCGTCCGAGCAAGCCCCAGGGAGTGCCTGGGGCCAAAGGAGGGGGGAATCCGTTACTTCTCCCCTCCCTGCGGCCGCGACAGCCCTCTTGGCCGCACGCGGCCAGCGACTGCGTGGCTGCCGCGGCTGGCTTGGTGTGGTTGTTGGAAAAAAAGGCCGGTGGCTAGGCCCAGCGTCACGACGCATCCCTGCGCGACTTCATGGTAGCGCCGGAGATTCGCCTCTGGCTCCTCCCACCAACTCGGGGTCCACGACCTGGCGATGACGCTCACGACCGTGAAGTCCTCCTTGCTCCTGCGCTCCATCTCGTCACCGATATCCTTCCAAAGCGGCCACCACAGCCATCGAAGTCGGCATAGGCTGCGGCATGCTCGCCCTCAGCCCAGGAAGCTCCCCTGGCGCGACCGAGTTCGGCGGCGGCATGTGGAGGATCCTGTGGTAGGCAAGCTGTCCTCGTGCGAGGGCCGCCTCGGGGTCAGCGTGCGCTTCCACTATTTGGACTGCGCGGCGTTCCACTTGACCGCCGGGCTCGGGCAAGGGCCGAGCAGCGCGCGCGCGATGACGGTGAGGAAGAGGAGGAGGAGGAGGAGGAGGAGGAGGAGGAGGAGGAGGAGGAGGAGGAAGCGTAGGAGGAAGAGGAGGTCGATGAGGATGAGGGGAAGGAAGGGGAGAGAAAGAAGATTTCGTTTCTTGTGCGTCTGATTGCTCGCGTTTCCGGTATGGTTCCGTTCCGTTTGCGTTCTCTTCTGTGTCGTTTCCGCTCCTTGCGGTTATGTTCCGTTTCTTCCGTTCCGGTGCCGTTCCTGCCCGTTATGGTCCGTTGCTTTCCGCTCCGTTTCCGTTCAATTTGCGTTCCTTTCCGTTCTCCTCCCTCCCCTTGATTTCTTTCTCCTCCTTCTCATCCCTCCTCCGTCTTTTTCAGTTTCTTCCGTCTCATCCCTCCACCTTATCCTCCTCACCTCGTCGTTGTCGGCGTCGTCGTCCACGTCGGGCCCTCTGTCACAAGGTGCCCCCGCACGGCCCTGTGGACGTCGCCACGATCGGCGAGAGCTTCCCCGCAAGCATCTGCCCCGAATTTGTGTCAACGCAAAGAAGGAGGAAGATGAGGAGTTCTTGTTTCTCCGCTGGAGGCGTCGCCCTCACCCGGGGAAGACGTGCCACACGCGCGGGACGGCAACTGCTCGTTGGACGGAGCCACCGCGCATGCGCATCAACGTAAAGGTAAAAAGTACTGGCGACGACTGGCACGCAAAAGACGAAGGCGGGGACTTGGGAAAAGAAAACGGAAGAACGCGCCGTCCGCGGAAGCATGGCAGCACCACGGAATTAGCACGGAACGGGCACAGACTCTGTAAACAAGTTAAGTCAAAAGTGTCGCGAAGGCTTGCATGAAGAGCTACAGAGACAGCACCGCACGAGCGCAACGAGGTGCCTGCGAGCGGCAGCAAGAAGCCTGTGAGTAGTACGCTAGCCCGCGAGCGCCGCATCATGCCTGCGAACACGCGCGCTTGTGACTTATGAGCACCACTGTGCGCATACGAATGCCACAACATGTCTGTGATCATCAGGCGGCGAAGGCATAGCTGCGAGCCCAGGCACACCGCAGGCGCATAGCTCCACGCATCATGCATTCGCGCATGTACACCACGCGCACAGGTGCTCATGTACACCACCCCGAGCTTGGTGCCACGAGCACCGCTATCAGTCTGTGCAGACCAACGCCAGCCTGTGTCACCATAGGGCTGCAAAAATAAAACTTCAACTTTTGCAGAGCTCGGCTTTCCGGCTGCCTCCACCCTTCCCTCCTCTCCCCACTCCTCATGCATGTGAGCCTGGGAACAGCCCGCGAGCCCCGCGACATGCCTGCGAACACCACAGAGCGACTGCGATCAAGCCAGAGTCAGACAGTAACAAAACAGCCTGCGAGCGCAAAACATGCGGGCACCAGCATGCTGGACCATGGCACCATTGCGAGTAGTTGCTAAATATGTCTGCGAGAACACAAAGAACCTTGTTGCAGGGGGCCCTAACAGCTAGGGTCCGAAGGGAGATGCGAGATGGAGTAGGATCTTGTAAGACATGTAAAGGATCCTAGTGTGTGGCTTCGGGAAAACAATTTCTTACCCCATGAGAACTGCAGAAAGCCCCTCGTGATCACACTTGGAAAAAGTACCACAATGAAATTTAGCCTGCGGGCGCCTCAACATGCCCGTCAACGGCTTTCGGGCGCTACCGCTACAGGGTGGGGAGGCCAGAAGGGCTTGATAGGGGTAACAAGACTTGGGCCCCGAGGCAACCAAAGGAAAACAATTGCCACCTCCCGATCCCCACCCCCCCCGGGTCATCGGCCGCAGGGAGCCAGAACTTGAACAGGGGCGCGTGCCACCGACGGCTGAGCCAGCGGCCGTGCCCTCGGTCGCGGCGCCGCCGTCGAAGCCGTGCACCCAGGCCCCGCCCTGGCGTAGCCGCGGGCGGCGACGCCGTCGTCAGTGCGGGGCTTCAAGACCGTGTTGTGACGCACCGCGTGGTGATCTCGAAATCCCAAAAGACCTCGTCACGCGGCTGGTCACCGCAGCGACTTAGGACCTCGGAAGCCTCGGTCACCCGAGACGTCCTCGCAGAACGACCCGATTCCGAAAACCATGTGGTGACCCCGGATCCCCGCTGACTCACCACGCGGTGTGGTCACTACACCGTTTGGGGGCCCCCCGAGTCAGGGTGGGCGCTGGACGATCGGCCGATGGAGGATCGATAGGTCGACGTGAGAAGCTCGAGACAGGCGTTTGCTCGTCATTTTTGGCCTCTGGGCGTCAACCTCGGGTTCGGGGGGCGGTAGGAGTCGATCCGGGATATGAAGTCCTCCCCGTCGTCCGCAGCCATTGTGGCTCAAGCCCGTTGGGCCCGTGCCTGACGAAGGGTGCTAAGAGCTCCCGGAACGCGTCGCATACGCCAGACGGCGTCGTGAACTGTCTACTGTGAAAAAAAGTTGGAGACCGACGTCTTCGTCTTCCAGGCCCCAGGAGACCCCTCGACCTCCTCGCCGGGGCCAATTTGTCTTCCCTGCTTGTTTGTGGCGGTCCTGGGTCTGGGCCGAAACTGGCGCCCGCAGGCTCAGATGATTAGGGGGATATTCTGCCCTGCTGCAAACAAGACATTGAAAGGCTCCTACCCCTCTCCTCAGATTCGGGGTCCCAGAACGGCGCGGTGACAGACCGTGTGGTGACCCCGCAATCCCGAAAGACCTCACCGCACAGTCCGTCACCGCAGGGTTTTGCGACCCTGGATGTTCAAGCCGCCCGCGACGTCCCGGGAGAACGATCCAAGTCCCACTGGGGCGCGGGATGGACACGCAGGTTGTGGAGTACCAGCTGGTTTTTGGAGGCGGAGACTGTGGATAACTGGGGTGCACGTTCGGTCACCCCGAATCCCCACTGTCTCACCACACGAGGTGGTCACCACACCGTTTGAGGGACCCAGAGGCTGGCCCCCTCTCCTCCCCCAAATCTGGCCCCCTGGACCTGTCTCAAGGCATGTTTCGGCCCAAACTCCAGAAAATTGAGAAGGGACTCCGGCCGCGGTGACCGTGGTGGAGAGGGGGGGGGAACATTGACCTGGAATCGGTGATGCATCGCCGATGATTTAGGTCAAGCATGTCCCCCTACAGGCGGATTTTGAGCGAAAAATCAAAAAGATACTCAAAACATGCTCCAAAATAGTGAAAACAAATTCAAAAATCGTCCGCCGACTATTTCTTGACTATTTTCGAATCTTCCTCCTGTGGAGGGACATGCCCGACTTAGACTTAGATCGGCGACAGGCCTTCAGTCATGAAGCCGCATGCTCCTGGGCGGGAAGGGGACGAGGCCCCGAGCGGCGACGAGTAGGCGTTCGGAGGCCTCTGCCCCCCCTCCCCCTGGGCCAGTCCCCTGGAAACTGTGGGCGGCGAGCGAGGGGGGGAAATGAGAAGGAGAAGGCCTTCTAAGAAGGCGGCGGGACTTCTCAGAAGCCGCGCGCATTCTGGCAAGCTTTTTGCGTTTTCAGGGAAGGCTTAGAACAATTCTCAGAAGGCCGGTGGACCTCCGAACCTTCTGAGAAGGCCTTCTACCTGGGTCAGTCCTCTGGAAACTGGGCACCCCAGGAATCAAAGCACACGACGCCTCGATCGACGTCACTTGACTGCCACGTTCAGGCTGGGGACTTGGGAACCCGACAACTATGTTCTCGCCCGCATTTCACTGAAAATTGGCTGTGCAACAACGATCAACCGCCGCCAGACCCCCTCCAACCAACCATCAAACCTACATTGTTCGTCGCCGGCTACTCTTGCGCAACACGTGCTCTGCAGCTCTTGCTCGATGCTCCCACCCCCTGGGCCAGTCCTCCCCTTGCCGTTGCCCACGAGCCCAGACACCCGACGCCGTATTTGCACAACGTGGCTCCCCAGCGAACTGGACCCCCTCCTAGGGACCAGCTCTTCATCCGGGCAAGAGTTCCAGAGGCCGAAAACAGCGAAACACCTTTCGTCGTGGCACGTGTTCACGACGCGAAGATTTCTGGGTCGTCCCGGCATTCTTCTCGGCAGGGAGGTCGAACAGGACTCACGGAACTCCGAACAAAAACCTCCACCAGGCTGACGAGCGGCGATCGCATCCAAATCCGCGCCCTCGCAGTCTGGATTCCATGGGCGCGGTCCCGCGGATACGCGGTCGCAAGGGTGCGTTCCGCTCGGGGCATCCGCGAAAAAACGCACCGTGTCCCCTCCGGACGCCTGAAATGGTTACTGAAAACGTGGGCACGGTGCACAAGAACAATTGTTGTCCCAAACCGACTGCGGCCGCTGTCGGGCAGGCGGCCTTCTGTCTCAACTGGACAGCGCCCGCGGCGACACCGACAGCGAGCCCTGTTCAAAAGAAACCAGAAATCATATCGGTCTTTGCGCCCATTCCCTTCGCACTCATTTCGACCGTCCCGATCCGCGGGGTCGCGGCCCGCGGCCCACGGCCCAACTTCAGGCGCCCGGCCCGCGAGGCCGCGGCTGTGGGTACGGCCCTCGTGCTGCCACAGGGGCCGCGGAGTGAGGAACGGAGGGGCTGCTCTGGCCCTGGGGAGCTTCCGCCACGAACAGGCCCCCCGGCCCAGATCTAAGGAGCGGCCCGGAAACGGGAGCCCCTTCTACTGAGCCCAAGAGTGGGCCTGGCCCGTCGGTCGGGAGCACGTAGAAGCATACAGAAAAGCAGGAAGGCACTGGAAGTAGGCTGGGCTTCCGCCCGCCCCCCGAAAGAGGAGGGAAGAGGGGTCGACGCTC